AACTAAATGTGATGTGATTGTTGTGAAGCACTTTGTTCAGCTGAGGTTGTTGTAAATGTGCTCGACTCGAGGCTGTATGTGTTGTAATTCTACGATGCTCAAATCAAACAAGTTGAAAATAATCTGAGCTTTTCAATGAATCAATAACAAAAAAAAARCATTAATTACAAAAACTTTATTGACATCTCCCACTTTACAACACAACAAGTCAGGCCAAAGTTAACAGGGATGTTTGTTCTGATAGAATCAGGCTTTTATTATTTTATTTCCAGTCCAGGTTTACAGATTTTCATCACATCTGAACTATCATTAAATTTGAAACAWGAGTTTTTATTAGTCTTTCTGTTAACACCTGTTTCTGTCTTTCTATCTCTCAAAATGGTGATGTCATTTCCTGTTTGAGAGCGAGGGTGAGTTCAGCACTAAAGGGGGGGGGGGGGTTCATGGTTAACAGCAGAACTGGAGTTATTTACACAAACAGGAAGTCAAACATGGATYAAACAAATATCTTGAGGAGTTTACTTCTTTCCCGACTTCTTGATCCCGCCACTCGCTGCAAAGACAGAAAACAAAACTTTTTACCAGGAGTCAAAGCTTTTACTGCAGCAGATGCTTCAGTTAATGTCAACATTTATAGATGCAACATGTAAACACGGACTGCAGCCACAGATGAACTGGGTGGTTTGAAGAATTTGCTTGATTTTTAACATCGTGTAACTTAYTTTAGACATTTAATTAAAAAACAAAGCTTTGAACCCTGCAATGTATTTACTGTAGTAAATACGTATACATTAGGGATATTTATAATTTTGTGTGAGTCAGTTATTTAGTAGGAAAGACTTGTTTTTCTGGTTTTACCTAGAGGTCCTTTGCCTGAAGCTTTGGCCTTCATCGCCTCCATGGCTTTCTGTTCATCCTTCTGTTTCTGTTTGTAGGCCACGTCGTCCTGCAGACATAAACTCAGTTCAATACATATTGTCTGATTTATTATTTACAAATGAATAGCTAAGAATCAATGGCTTCCAGGGGCAACATTCAAGAAAAAAACATTAAACTACAACAGTATTATATACTGAAAATATCTCATCAAGCTCAGAGAAGATCCTGTAGGGAGAAGAAAAAAAAACATGAAACTTACTTCATCCATTTCTTTGCTCTGTTTCTTGGGTGCCTTGAGAGGTTTCTTTTTGCCTCCTGACAAAAATATAATACAAAATATTGCTTTAAAGCAGCCAGAGACATTAATAACACAATCAGTAGTCCAGTTTTCGTTTAAACTTAACTCATGAAGTAGATTTTAAAGCCGGATGAAGGAGTGCATGTGGAACATTAACCCACAATTTACAAATAATACTTATTTAATGTGTGCTTTTATCTGCAATTAATTAAACATAAATGTGKAAAATCAACAACGGAGTTTGGTTTAACGGAATTAGCAATTGTTAGCTTAAGCCACACAGCGAATGACGCGGTGCTGAGATTTACCAAGTTAAAATGTTGATATTTATTTAAAAATATAAATTTTAATATAAAACATCTCACCGTCCCTGCCAGACATGTTGAAACCAGATTATAAYAATAATAAGTGATAATCTATTAAATTAACTGCACAGCTAGCTGTCCTCGCTTTAATCCGCACTGCCAGGACCCCCGGAAACCGGAAACAGAATCCTGATGATGCGCCTGAACAAAACCTCAACTAGCTGTTTCATTTAACCTCAAGATGATAAGTTGTTTTCAAATAACAGTTATTGGAACTTTAAGGCTCTGACAATCTCAGCGCAAACAGATACAATCATTCTGGTGCTTTTATGTTTTATATCGACCGTGTTATAGTAATGAAAAGTCAAATAGCCGGGTTTATGCTAACGTGAAGCTAATTGGAAACGAACTAAATATAAGTAAACAAAAAGTAAGCTTCTCTTTCTGTAGTCTGTGTTATAAAAATATAAGATAACTATAATATTACCATGTTTGTTTTTTRATTAACACTTAAATTTACATTTTGAAGTTTGAAGTCGTATTGTGTAATGATATTTGCATAAACTTTCTGATTTTTCTGTTGCAAGAAAGGCTAAGATTTCAGTGTTTTGTTATTTGGAAATGTTTTGCTAATAATAATAATAATGATGATGATGATGATGAAATAGTTTTGTATTTTTAGTTTTGGTTTTATTATTTTTCATTTGAGAAACAAGACCTATGCCTCAAAATTTAAATGTAGTAGCTTTTATTTGCCTGATTAAAAACAAAAGCTTAWATATTTGTGTGGTCAAAAGCTTTCAACTAAATGTTATCATATTGTTTTCACAGGTGTGTGTCCTGCAGCTGCTAGGACAGAGAGTATTTACCTGTGACTGCTGCTAATCCTTCTCCATGAAGTAAGTAAACCCAGTTAAGTTTGATGCTTCATGTGCAGTTTTAGAAGTTATGACTGACTGAAGTTTTCTGTCTCAGTTACAGAGGAGTTCAGATCCATCTCTGGGCTCGTGGGTCATACTGTCTGTCCCGCCACTACCTGCCCAGGAAAATCACTCAGGTCCGAAGCTACAGCGCTCAGCAGCCTCCTGAACCAGCTCCCCTCGCCAACCGAGCCTCTCCYGGACCAAAGAGTAAAGCTGAGGTGGTGAAGGAGCACACCATGTCAGTTCTGAAGGTACAAAWAWATATATATTTTAAGTTTATTGCTGCAGTTTTCCATATTACTAATGCTGCCAACAGAGTTATCACAGTTTTGTTTATTGTTCCTGAAGCATGCAGGAGAGCTGGGGCGGCAGTGGAGTCAGAGGTCAGCTCAGGCTGCCAGTGCCACCATCAACTACTGGTGGGGGAGGTACGAGGAGTTCGTTGGGCTCAACGAGGTCCGAGAAGCTCAAACCAAAGTCACAGAGGTCAGCAGACTGATAAAACCTGACATCAGTTTTTATGAGAAATATACTCATCACATATTTAGGGGGTTTAAAGCAGGGGTTCTTAACCTTTTTGACCTCGGGGCCCAATTTATTGAACATAAAGTGGCACGAGGCCCAGTCAGACATTAC